AGGAATAAGATCCTCCGGAAAAGGGCGCTTTTTCCGGAGGATCGGGGCCAGTGTAGACGCTCTTTTCCGGCTTTTCTAAAAGCCGGAAAAAAGCGGCGGACATTTTTATTTAAATGCCGCGGGGGATATTTAAATCCCCCGCGGATTTCCCTACTACGATAGCTGAAATTAACATGCCCCTTCCGGAAAAGGGGCCAGTGTAGACGAGCCCCTCGGGTATATAAGTAGGGAAAACTGCTTACATTGGTGTGCTTGATCTGAGATGTCTAGTCTCCTGGCACCTATTTGAGTGTTCAAATGAACTTTTTTTGCTTCTCCACACCGGTGTGTTTATTGGAGCGAGCACACTGGGCAACAAACCCAGCTGTTGCTCCCTCGGGCATCCTGTGCCAGCAACAAATAGATGGACGGGATCATAGAAAGTCAGTTCGTAGGGGGGCTTTTTTCAATTTTCTACAACCAGTGGCAGAGGTAAAAATCCTACTTGGTCGAGGTACCAAAGCATGACAGTGGGGAACCGATGCCCCGTGTAAACTCGGATTTCCGTTTTGCCAGGGAAATGGCGGTGTGGTGTTGTTTTTGAGGCTGGCCCTTGCAGGCTGGCCCAGTTTTCTAGCCGCAGAAGCAGGCGTGAGAAATGAAACTGGAAATGCAAAGGAGCCTTTTGAGATGGCAAGGAAAAAAACCCAAAACAAATAGCCTGGGAAAGGGCCCAAGCCTGAACTCAGTGGCTGCATCTACAGTGGCAGATGCCTGTCTACACTGGCAGGGAAGTCTTACGCAAGAACACTGACGTTCTAATGTGTGAAATCAATGCTTCTTGCGCAAGAACTATGATGCTCCCGCTCAGGAAAAAACCCTCTTGTGCAACTGTTTTTACGCAAGAGGCCAGTGTAGACAGGCAATATGAATTTCGTGCACAAAAAAGCTCGATGGCTAAAATGGCCATCGGAGCTTTCTTACGCAAGGGAACATCTACACTGGCACGGATGCTTTTGCGCAAAAGCACGCCTCTTCCGCAGAAGCACAGGCCCGTGTAGACGCTCTCTTGTGCAAATACTTTAATGCAAAAACTCTTGCATTAAAAGTATTTGTGCAAAATCTTGCCAATGTAGACGTAGCCAGTGTGTCTAGATGG